CGCCAACTCTTGGGTCACTCTTTTACCAACGAATAGTGGGATTGACCGCCACATTATAATGTCTCACGGCTGAAAGAGCGAGTATGTTTGGTGGAACGGGGATTCGAACCCGCGACCTTCAGATTGCGAGTCAAGCGCCCTAACCGCCTGGCCATGTCGGGCCTTTTCATAGAGCGTAGGAAATGTATTTTCAATTTTTATTACGTCTTTATTGTCTCTTTTATAAAACATGTCACATATTTTAACACAAATTCAAGTACCGGTTTCATGGCAAGTAAAAGGTAACAAATACATAGGACTATTCGTATTAATTCTAGGTTTCTTGTGAAATTTTAGGCAAGGATTTTGATTCTTTAAGAACGTGTCACGGAGTAGAAACATAGGAAGTAATTCCACTCACATTCAACGTGATTCAACTCTTTTAGAATGTCTTATCTTATTATTTATTTTATTACATAATCTGGAAATAAGTTAGATATATCCTAAGAATTATCTAAGCCTTTTAAAATGTCGCCCTGTCTATCTGGCATAGCAACGCGAGATGGCTGTCGTTATGTCTAAAATAACATAAAACTTGGCAAGAATTTGGGTTTGAAATAAAACCCGGGGCGCTCGGAAATTAAGAAAATAACATTCGCTCCGCTCGTGATATTGGGTGTGCTCCGAGCCCAAAAAATATAAGCATATGTTAAAGCGTGATTGTTTAAACAATAACGATAAATAAACAAATAAAACAAAGTCGCGTTTGAAGTAAAAAAAACAACAAACCTAATCAGAATAAGACATACTTTTTTTTTGGAATGAGCACAACACCCTAAATATGCGATAAAGATGACAGAAACAACATAAAGAAACAAATCATTATACGTCTCTATTGATTCACCGAGACCTTTGCATTTTTCACGTACAAGTGTAGTGCGTGTAGGAGGAGGAGATGAATTTACATTTAAATGAGGGAAAATGTATATTTCTCCTGTTCGATCCAAAACACAGCTCTGAAATTAATCATACAAGTAATTTATAAGTGAAAATACGGGCTGTGTTGAGTCACTTATTATTGGACCGACTACAATTAAAACAAACAGATAATACGGTTCAGTCATCTACACGTTGGTTTTGTGTGACTCCTCCTCAATTGACTCGGGGGTAACTTCTGAGTCTGATTCTATTGGTAGAATCCTGAGGCTGATTTCTTGAATAATGTGGTCAAGGTTTATCCATTGCTCAGGAGGGGTAATGTGGTCAAGGTTTATCCATTGCTCAGGAGGGGTAATGTGGTCAAGGTTTATCCATTGCTCAGGAGGGGTAATGTGGTCAAGGTTTATCCATTGATCAGGAGGGGTAATTTGGTCAAGGTTTATCCATTGCTCAGATGGGGTAATGTGGTCAAGTTTTATCCATTGCTCAGGAGGAGTAATGTGGTCAAGGTTTATCCATTGTTCAGAATTATCTGACCTTTATGATAAAGGTCATATTATTGTTGTATTCTATCGTTCTGAAGGTCGAGCATCAGAAGAATATTGATATACATTAATACTGTGTAAGGTGTGTGTTACTTTATATGTATAGCTTGACGTATGCTATTGGCTAATTTGTCCACGTGGCTTGCCTTAATTTGTACGTATATGTTGTTGTTGTTTGTAATTAAGCACATAGCTACACAATGGGCTATCTGTGCTCTGCCCACCACGGGTATCGAAATCCGGATTCTAGCGTTGTAAGTCGGCAGACATACCGCTGTGCCACTGGGGGGGGGGGGTTGTGTGTTTGTTTGAAGTTAAGCACAAAGCTACACGATGAGCTATCTGTGCTCTGCCCACCACGGGTATCGAAATCCGGATTCTAGCGTTGTAAGTCCGCAGACATACCGCTGTGCCACTGGGGTGCTTGTACGTATGTCAACTTCTGTTTTCTCCCGAACTTCCAACTTTTGGACTACTCTTCAACAACGACTAGTGGGATTGACGATAACATTATAACGTCATTATGGCTGTTCGTTGGTGGGATTCGATTTCGCGACCCACATATTGCGAGTCGAGCGTCCTAACCTGTAACAATATTTAAAGTTCACATATTGTCAGAACCGGGCTCATCTTTGTATGCTATGACAGCAGAAAGTATTAATGTGACTGTTCGAATTTTACAAGAAAGT